CAGAACAGAATAGAATTCTTTTATTGGCCAAGTGTGATTGAAGACACAAGGAATTTGTCTTTGGTGCAGATGCTCTGAGTGTACATAAGAAGACAAGATACATTCGTCAAGAATCATAAGGTGCGAACACTTAATGCAAGTCATAGGGTACAAATAAGCAATCAGGAAACAATCGATATAAATATAAATCATAAGGATACAAGCAACAAAGTTACAGTCGTGCAGTCGTAAGTGGGAAGAGATGGGTGATAGGAACGAGAAGATTAATAGTAATGCAGCCTTAGTGAATAGTTTGACAGTGTTGAGGGAACTGTTTGTTTAGCAGTGATGGCGTTCAGGAAAAAAACTGTTCTTTTGTCTAGCTGTTCTGGTGTGCAGTGCTCTATAGCATCATTTTGAGGATAGGAGTTGAAACCATTTATGTCCAGGATGTGAGGGGTCTGTAGATATTTTCACAGCCCTCTTTTTGACTCGTGCAGTGTACAGGTCCTCAGTGGAAGGCAGGTTGATAGCAATTGTTTTTTCCGCATGTTCTAATTATCCTCTAATTGTCTTTTTATGTACACTGAGAGCATCTCCACCAAAGACAAATTCCTTGTGTGTCCAATCACACTTGGCCAATAAAGAATTCTATCCTATTCTGTTTTTCCTTGGGAGGTGGTATAATTTCAAAGCTTTTAAGTCTGTGTCTGCCTTGTTGGGTTGCAGAACCAAACCAGACACTTCTAGAGGTGCAGATGACAGACTCAATAATTGCTCTGTGTTTCCGAACATAACTTTGGCAAGGGGAGAACCTGAGGCACTTCTGGGTACCTACCTCACTGGCTTCAATGGTCCCCACGTATTTGAAGATGACGTCATAGAGAGAGTGATGGACATACATCTGTACCAAGAAATAAAAAAAAAGCAAAGAAAGGATTCTGAAGGTCTGCTCAAAGTGGGAACCAAGATCCTATCGACCATCCAGGATACTCACATCCACCGCTTGTTTCATCAGGTTCATCTGAAGTTCCTGCTTTGCAAGCATTCTCTAAATTATTTGGGGGGAAAAGAAAGCAGAATGAACGCCCAGGAATGCCTAAGAAACACATGGCCAGATGTTCACCTGCGCACATCTGTACTTACAAAGTGGGAGTCTCTCAACAGCTGCTGGATGCATTTGGTGTAGAGGGCGTTCACAGAATCCTGAAGATCAAAGCAAAGTGCACTGAGAAAACTGGGTTGGGAGCTGGGAAGAGGTCAAGCATTTAAAAATATCAGCCATCCTTCCGAGGTGGGTAAAATGAGGACCCAGATGCTGACTCTGTAAACCGCTTAGAGAGGGCTGTAAAAACACTATGAAGCGGTATATAAGTCTAAGTGCTATTGCTAAAAGTCTTGCAGGATCATTCTACTTATACAAGCCAACATATGACTAATTCATTTTCAAAGAAAGCAACATACTTTAAGTGACATACATATGCCATGGCCAGAATTTCCCCATACTTCCTTCCCCTTTTGATGAGATTGTGTTTTTTTTTAATTGAAATTTTTGGAAAAAAAAAAAACTTTTACAAATATTTACTTCCCTCCCCCTCCCCACCCAAACCCCACCCCCCCTCCACAACTTCCCAGAACCAATACAGGGTATAAATCTTTTAACAAAAATATTCTAAAATAAACTTTTTAAAAAAAGTTAATTATCATCTTTCATTTGAGCTTTAACT